CACATCAAACACCCATCATACTCTACTGTGTTTACACATTGCCTCGGCTGACACATCAAACACCCATCATACTCTACTGTGTTTACACATTGTCTTGGCTGACACATCAAACACTAATTTATACTCTATTGTGTTTACCCATTACAGGTTCCCTCGCATGATACATAAAACACCCATTATTCTTCACTGTGTTTACACGTAACATTTTTCATATCCTGAAACATAAAACATTAACAATACTCGATTGTATTAAGTAAGAGACAAAATTACGCCATGACCAGCAAGCTTGGAGCATTTGTCCAAGAGCCCACACTCGAAAAGAGTTGTTCAATGGGTATCTAAATGATATTTAAAGTAGCATGATTTAATTTACACGATCCGTCAGAGCTTTGTTAAAACAGAAATAATTCGTTGATTGAAATTTAAAATAATAACATTTCTTACAAACTGTCTAATATGTAAGACATACCTTCACATTTTACGTATCCGTCGCCATGGTAACCAGTGAAACAGACGCATTCATCCTGTTGACATATTGCATTATCCACACACTTGCTTTTCCCACAAAGCTCTAAATGAATTGTTCATTTGTAGTTCATTCAATATATTTCATATATAAATTGTTCATGTACAGTACACATTGACATTTTTGAGTGTTAACGCGTCAAAACATTCGCAGTGAGACTGTTTTCGAATTGACAATGCTTCTGTAATAATGGTTTTCTAATTGGCAATGCTTCTGTAATAAATGCTTTTTAATTGGCAATGCTTCTGTAATAAATGTTTTCTAATTGGCAATGCTCCTGTAATAAATGTTTTCTAATTGGCAATACTTCTGTAAACAATGTTTTCTAATTGGCAATGCTTCTGTAATAATGGTTTTCTAATTGACAATGCTTCTGTTATAAGGGTTTTCTAATTGGCAATACTTCTGTAATAAATGTTTTCTAATTGGCAATGCTCCTGTAATAAATGTTTTCTAATTGGCAATACTTCTGTAAACAATGTTTTCTAATTGGCAATGCTTCTGTAATAATGGTTTTCTAATTGGCTATGGTTCTGTTATAATGGTTTTCTAATTGGCAATGCTCCTGTAATAAATGTTTCCTAATTGGCAATGCTCCTGTAATAAATGTTTTCTAATTGGCAATACTTCTGTAATAAATGTTTTCTAATTGGCAATGCTTCTGTAATAATGGTTTTCTAATTGGCAATGCTCCTGTTATAAATGTTTTCTAATTGGAAATGCTTCTGTAATAATGGTTTTCTAATTGGCAATGCTTCTGTAATAATGTTTTTCTAATTGACAATGCTTCTGTTATAAGGGTTTTCTAATTGGCAATGCTTGTGTTATAATGGTTTTCTAATTGGCAATGCTTCTGTATTAATGGTTTTCTAATTGGCAATGCTTCTGTAATAATGGGTTTCTAATTGGCAATGCTTCTGTTATAATGGTTTTCTAATTGGCAATGCCCCTGTAATAAATGTTTTCTAATTGGAAATGCTTCTGTAATAATGGTATTCTAATTGGCAATGCTCCTGTAATAAATGTTTTCTAATTGGCAATGCTTCTGTAATAATGGGTTTCTAATTGGCAATGCTTCTGTTATAATGGTTTTCTAATTGGCAATGCTCCTGTAATAAATGTTTTCTAATTGGAAATGCTTCTGTAATAATGGTATTCTAATTGGCAATGCTCCTGTAATAAATGTTTTCTAATTGGCAATGCTTCTGTAATAAATGTTTTCTAATTGGCAATGCTTCTGTGATAAATTGTTTTAATATTTCATTTTTGTTAAACTTCAATAGAATTTATTTTCTGATAAAAGCTTTGAATTTTGGTTCAAGGAAAGCTATACATTTTAAAATGTATCTATTGAAAGATAAATACATTAGAAATGATAAAATTATATATTTTCCAGATTTTAAATTAGCATTGTAATTGCAGATCTGTAAGCTATCAAATAAGTTCTTATCTTCGTACTTTAAAAGCATATGTAGATACTTACTTTCACAAATATTATAACCGTCCCCTACGTAACCATGGTTACATCGACACCGGTAATTCACACACTTGGCGTACTCGTCACATACTTTGCCTCCACACACTCCCATAGCTGCATTGGCGGAGAAAAACGCATCAAAAGTTTTTCGGATGGACGATAGGTATACAAAGACATGACAAGAAAATGTCTAAGTCTTCTTTACTATTGTTTTTGCCACAGTGAATTTCTGCGTCTTTGTGAGGATACTGCTCTTGTGCATTGATACATATACCTATAAAAACTGAGCAATATAAAATGTATGAGCAATAATGTACAAAATTTGCTTATTACATGTAGGTCTTCATGATATTGATAGGGAAATTTAAAACTTTATCTATGAACTCACGTTCACATTGGATGTCTGGGTTACCATGAAAACCGCTAATACAGACACATTTCCCATCCCTACACACCGTATTGTCAGGACATTCTTTTGTGCCACACAGAGCTGTCAAACAAGATATTGAACATATTATGAGTATAACTATAAAATAAAAACTACCGGCTTGAACAAATAAGTATCAATTAAATAAATATGCCTTTTGATAGATTAAAAAGGAATTCCATTATAATATTCAATCAATATTCATTCCTTCAACAAGATAGTTATACATATATAGGAATTCCTCGGGTATTTTTTTTTATATCTATATGTGTGCTCCATTACACACAAAAACACCCATGGATAATTTCGCGGAAGCGATGAATACGTATATATGAATAAAGTGTTTAAAATCTTGCATTTTCAGTTTATTGATTTTAATTCCGTCAAGCATTGTCTTATTTCATTAACACGCAGCTTATATTACCATTGATTCCGATAGTAGTAATGAGTCACACATGATGAGTTAATAATTTATTTTATTTTTCATTCCTTAGACGTCACCTGAAATACTTACCTTTACAACGTCTGTATCCGTCTCCTAGGTAACCTGATCGACACACACATTGATAGTTTTTACACTCTGCGTAGGGTGCACACAGTCTACCGTCACACGTGCTTTCATCTGCAGTGAAGTATTACGTCATGAAAAACAAATTATCTTATAGCATGATCTTTCTTGAGAATATTTGTCCATTTCGTATCTTTGAAATATTTACTTGTTATTTCTTGAAAACCTTTACAACTTAATTAAAAATTATTTATTTATGAAAACATTAAATTTCGTAAAAACAATTATTGCTGACAAACTTATTATAATGTGCTATTCTGATTTTAATATCAAAGTTGTCAATTTAAAATGTATATCAAATTGATACATACGTTCGCACTTAATATATGGGTTGCCATGGTAACCATTCTGACAGGCACATTCGTTGTTTTCACAGTAGGCATATTGAGCGCATTTCCGGTCATCACATAAAACTGAAAAATATCAAATTTTGCTTTTACAAATATTGGAGTTGATGATAAATTTCTTTTTAAATGTGTAGTCCTGCTCCTAACAGGACCTCCTGAAAACGAACAAAACAGAGAAATTTAGATACATAATTACATGTCTTGTTTCATAAAATTATACTCACTATGGCATTTTTCATATCCGTTTCCCGTATAGCCTTCGTCACAAACACATTGGTAATTGTAACAGTGAGCGTACTGGCAGCATCGCTTTCCTCCACACGTACCAAGGGCTTCACGAGAAAGTTACAAATGTTATATTTTTCAAGCAGAATTTATGATGATGTTTCATATTGTGTAAATCATTTATGTCAAAATGTTATAGACATATTGTGATATGAATATTGTATTAACTTTTGAATGGAAATGAAAAGAAACAGCATGATTTTTATTTCAGAACTTAATTTTCAATATGGTGCAAGTAACGGATGTGGAAACATAAAGAACATATTTATCTTTGTACCTTCAGTATGAAATACATGCAACTCTCGTGCTTCTATAATTTGGCGGTAAACATCGTAGAATGTGCCGAAAGTGTTTAGAAAACATCGAAGATTATATCCTAACATATCTCATTCTAATAAATACGTTTTTCTTTAAACCGATGACATGGATATGTGTTTTATTTGAAGTTAGGAATCTGCTATGTGTTCTTACGTTCACATCTGATGGAACCATCTCCGTGTAAACCCCCACTGCAAGTGCATACATCATTTTTGCAGTAGGCATTCGGCTTACACAACTTCCCGTCACAAAGCTCTGCAAAGTAACAAAACGTACAGGTATCTTTCCTTTTAATTAGTAACTTACATGTTTAAGCATAAAAAAAACACAATTGACAAAATTAACGCAGTATTAAGCACACATTATATACATGTATGTATTTTTGTAATAGTTCTATGTAATTTTTTCCTACATATTTGACGTTTTTATATTTGTTATGTTACATTGTAACTGTTAACAATGTAATACATGCAATTCCTGCTATGGACATTATTCTTTGTGTATAGGTTCCAACCTCCAACCCCATTTGACGCTGATGCTGAGACAAGTGTATGCCCAACTTTCACAAACGTAAGTTTCTGATGTTGTGACAATGTATGCATATAAACCTTCCCAAACGTACGTCCCTGATGTTGTGACAACTGTATATAAACCTTACCAAACGTACGTCCCTGATGTTATGACAACTGTATATAAACCTTCCCAAACGTAAGTCCCTGATGTTGTGACAACTATATATAAACCTTCCCAAACGTACGTCCCTGATCTTGTGACAACTATATATAAACCTTCCCAAACGTACGTCCCTGATGTTGTGACAACTGCATATAAACCTTCCCAAACGTAAGTCCCTGATCTTGTGACAACTATATATAAACCTTCCCAAACGTACGTCCCTGATGTTGTGACAACTATATATAAACCTTCCCAAACGTAAGTCCCTGATGTTGAAACAATTGTTAACATATAAACCTTCTCAAACGCAAGTCCCTGATGTTGTGACAACTATATATACGTACCTTTGTACACATTTGATATGACAACTTTAACTATATATCTAACCCCACATTTAACGCTGTTGTATCGTCAACAGTATAAAAGTACCTATCGATGTATTTGACGGTGTTGTTGTAACAACAATATAAAAGTACCTACCTACACATGTAACAGTGTTGTTATAAAAACTGTATAAAGGTACTTACCAACACATTTGACGTAACCGTTGCCAGTGTAACCTTCCTTACACGTGCAGTGATAATTTACACAGACGGCGTCTTGAGCACAGATTTTACCACCACATTTAGTCGTTGCTATTTATTAAATAGAGCACATTTCTTTATAAATATGGTAATTTATGCCATATATTTCATGCAAATACTAGTAATCAATTTGACATGAAAACACTGCATGTTATTTTCTTCGGTGTGATTTTAGAAATAAGATAATTTTTGTTAGAAGTGCCAATAGCGTAATACAAGGTATTCATGTTCTTGATAGTTCTGCTGGTAATAGATTTAACTCTATCTATATTTATAAGATGAATCTCTTACGTTCACACTGAACCTGCGGGTTACCATGGTAACCCTCCCTGCATTTGCACACGCCATATTCACAATCAGCATCGTCGGCGCACTTCTTGCCATTGCAAAGAGCTGTGGAAATACATCTTTAACTCAATACATGCTAAAAAGGTATTAACTAGAAAGCTAACATGTTAGCACGTCAACAGTTTCAAACGTTTACCTGATGTTCAGAATTATTAATGTAAAGTACTTAATCAAACATCAAAGGAAAGAAGATATGAACTGTTCATTTAATTTGGTTTTCATCTATTGTTCGAGTTTCGAAAATCAGCTGATATATTAAATAAACGTACGGTAGCACCGGCTGTATCCGTTACCATAGTGACCGTCTTTACACCCACATTGATAATTACGGCACTCGGCGTTGACAGCACACCTCCTCGAACCACAGAAATACACAGCTGATAAAAAGAATGGAGTATGTGGAGAGACAGAATACCACAATGAAACGATTTTACAGTAACTCTTCATTGTCATTATGCTCTTATTACTGGTAAAAAATGTCAAAACAATTATCTATAAATTTCCCAACAGGTTTCCATTAAATAGTGGTGGTTAACCGTAGTATTGCAAACGAAAATGAATAAAAGTATTAGCTAAGCTTGTTGTAAACATCTTAACTAAGAATGTTTCTTCACTTGATGTCCTTAGGGGAGGCATTCCATAAAGTAATGAAACGTTGAACTTACCTTGAAAATGTTCATAAGACCGGCCCTGAGGAACGACATAATTATTGCAACTAATAATTACTGTTCAGAAACCAAACAAAACGTTTAATATAAAAAATAAGGTATCAAATCATACATACGCTCGCATTTTATGTAGCCGTTTCCATGGTAACCACTTAGGCATTTACAAACATCCCCCTGACATCTCGCGAACTCGGCACACGGTTTACCGTTACACAATGCTGTGAAGGGAAATCCATGGACATTATCATATATACGTTGTTGATTTAGAACAATAATGTAACAAGTTTTTCCAACTTATATTAATCACACTTGCTGACAAGGATGGAAGCGTGCAGAGGCTTTTAATATTAAAAGCCTCTATTATTATGTAACGTGTGAGGGAACTGGCGATATTGATGCATGTATAATTTTAACTCAAGGTTTTTCTGATAGTAATTATAGAAATATACAAAACAGAGAACCATTAGTAAATCAAAATTAACGCATGATAAAGATCAAGCGTTTTTGCGATATAACAAACATAACTGAAAATAGATCATTTGACAGCGTTTTTTCGTGGGAAAAATAGCTTCTACTGCAGCAGGTCTTTGTTGTACTTTACAGTGATAAATGAATATGTATTTGTGACGACATGAGCGACATACGTACATTCACACTCCCTGTATCCGTCCCCCACATAGCCCTCCTTACAGATACAGTTGAAGTTGATGCATTTGGCGTTAAGCACACATGTCCTGTTTCCACACTGTTTCAAAGCTGTGGATTTAAAATGGTTAGTTTCCATGTGTTGCCTAAAGAATACTTTATGTAATTAACAAACACCATTTTCTGTTTGACGACTTCTGTTTCAATTTTGAACATAAGTAGCCAATGAAAATTGAAATAACAGTTTTATTGTTCTTTCATTTTAAGTCAAAACAACTAAATTATCACAAATTATTTAGACGTAGAAAAAAATGAAATTGCTTAACCAATCTTAGATTAGGATGCAGCATTACTATTAAACAACCCCGTTTCTCGTATAAGAACTTGATTGTAAATAAAGCCTTGAAGTGCTTACGTTCACACTGTATGTACCCATTTCCATGGTAACTGTCCTGACAAATGCACTGGTCCCGAAAACAGTAGGAGTAATCTACACAGACGCGGCCCGCACAAAGTCCTAAAGAAGATCATGTTTATTGTAAGTCTTTATTTCTACTTCCAAATTATAAGGCTATTGACAATATGTACGATCTACCCAGTACAGAATAAGATATCTCAAAGGAAATTAATTTTATCAACACATGACACATTATTAATGAAAATTATTTTTAATATACTTTGCAACGTAGATATGATTGATATGGGCATTGTGAACAAATGGAGTATATGAAACAATTGTACAACATAAAATGCATATTTGAGATAAAATGATAGTTTGGGGATTGAAATGATTTATATAGTCAGGAAGGATTACGATAAACGTACGTTTACATCCGACGTATCCGTCGCCATAGAAACCCGGTCGGCAATGACACTGGAAGTTGATGCACACCGCGTTGGTCACACACGATTTCCCACCGCATGTTAACTCAGCTGCCAGATAGATCCACAAATAATTAGTTTTAAAAATGTCATAAATAGCTGGAGACAAAAAAACTCGCCATGAAGTTTACGATATATGCAACAAAAAATAAGACATATATAAAAAAAATTGTAATGTACTGAAACAAACAAAAACAAATCATCAAAAAAAAATCTTTATTGCAATGATATAAGGGAATTCTGTCAAAATTCTCTATATGCGTATTCAAAGAAGTAAGCAAGCTATTTATAACATTTTAAAAATATGTTCATTTATTAAAATGATAAACTCACGTTCACATTTGATGAATCCGTTGCCATGGTAACCGTCCGTACATTCACATATATCATTCTGACAGTAGGCGTTGTCTACACACTTCTTACCGTTACAAAGTTCTACAACAACAACTCCATAGTAAAACTAATTCCGAATGTTTTACATTTGAGTATATTTTAGTATGTGTTACATGCATAACTGACTGTGATATTTTATACTTGTGTTGTATTGTTGTTATCCATTCTGTTAGTGAACCCTTAGGTCTGTTGAATTGGAAATAAATAAATAAACAGATACATAAATACCACATTTACTTATAAACGTCTAAGTCATCTAGTTTCTTACATGACGTTAAAGCTAAGTCACGTATCCATAAATATAGATAGAATGGCAATAAGATACACTCATTACGTACATAAATAATCAAGATTAGAAAACAAACACTGTCTACCATACTTACCAATACAGTTATCGTATCCATCGCCGTAAAACCCAGTCTTACAAACACAGTGATAGTTTATACACTCCGCATTTTGACAGCATACTTTGTTGTCGCAGACCCCTATCCCTTTAGAAAGACGTCATTGTGGAGATCAAAGATACTATATTTTATGTAGGCAATGATGCTGTCAATGAGTTGAACACGTTTGTATACTTAGGTTCTCATTGAAAAACAAAATGATTACATTTATGTAAGAGAGATAAATAGTTCAAAGTTTGCATATACTATTTATTGTTGAAACTGATTATATAATAGCTTGTATCATATATAGTTTTACGCTATAAACAACCACTATAAATAAACAACATGGTCGTGGTGTTGAATGTAGATAGATGTTGACGTTAGTCTGGTTATAGCTCACAACGTAAAGGTATTCCTGTAGTTTGGTCCTAATTTGTTTGTGATTTTTCGTCTTGACAACAACTAATGTAATATGAAGAATACCTTAGACAGACACACGAATAGATAGGGTAGGGGAAAATATAAACATAGTACAGATCACCAGCGGTGGGGCAGCACTTCAGTATCAATGTTTTCTATGTCATTTACTTAGAAGACACCGATTTTACATTTAGCCTCAAATTAATGACCTCTTAGGTACATGTAGTGGCATATAGTAGCTGGTGTATTATTTAACGAAACCCTGGAAGTTGGTCAGATAGGGGTCGGGGTGACGGTGATTCGGGTTTGTTCTTGTTATTGATAAATGAAATTGACAGGGATACACGTTTTAAATGTGCAATTGCAAAAGTAATAAGTATAACAGATTGGGTTTTTCTTACAAATAATGTTTATGTCATATGTAATAGTCTACCAGTCTTAGTAACAATCTTATTATTTAGAATTATTCATAATTAGCAAAAATACACCCAAGGACCAATCAGAATTAAAAGTCAATAGGAAAACAACAACAGGAACTGATAGACATCAAAAAGTAACACCATTACCTGACAAGCATGCCATGTTTATAGATACGATGTAAGTCTTCAAACATCTTTATCATAATGTGAGTACTTACTGTCACATTGGTGATATCCATTGCCATGATAATCTTCCTCACATTTACATTCGCCATAACGACAAATAGCGTTGTCAACGCAACGCTTACCATCACAGAGTTCTGTGGGAATTAGTCAAGTCAAAGTGTATACATTATATCAGAAGGAATATGGATCCGAACACATTTAGATTTCAATATTTGATAATAGATTTGTTTAAATGTGGCTCGGACTAATTCTTAATATAGTTCCAAAAGTTACAGTTGTTCAGAATATTTTTTATCAACATTGTATTGCTAACCTAGGTGTTCTACAAATTAATACGCGTTTCAGAATTATGTACATCACGATAGTTTTGCTGCTTATAGTAGAATATTGCTACTATAACGAATGCTAATAACAAATCAGCTTAGCAGTCTAAGAGATTTATAAGCTAAATGCAAAGAAGATATCTTGAGAGGTTACTGGTTTTGTTTTGTATTAATATCGATATTTCACCTTGACAGTGAGTATATCCGTCTCCAAAATACCCCCTTTTACAGACACATTGGAAATTAAGGCACTCCGCACCAGCTGTACACTGCTTAGCGCCACACATTGTCAGTGCTTTATTAATAGAAGAAACGAAACCATGTCAAACCAAATGAAATTCCAAATCTTGTTGTTATCTGAATCAGCATGTATATGTCGGAGTAAAAACTTAACGTAATTAAATAACACGCAAAAACGCTTCCATATCTGCCTTTACAGAAAATTATTCATTGGCATTGTGTCATTTTCGACTATATTTGTTATGATATCGATTCCTACTATATTTTATACTTACGCTCGCATTTATAATAACCGTTCCCATGAAAACCATAGTCGCATTGGCATTTCTGATTTTGGCATGAGGCATTAGAAGAACATCGCTTTCCGTCACACAATGCTAAAAAGCAAACACCGGTACGTGCAAATGTATAGTGGTTCTGAATGGAATGACATTTTAAAGCTAAAACACACCCGTGAGGACAAAATTCGACCTCAAAGTCAATTCAAAAAGTGTACACCATCTATTACTCAGTGATTTGTCGAATATGATATTAATTTACCAATATGGATGTAGAAGAGCTTATGTGCAAACAATATTAAGAAATTGAGAAAAAAGGTTGAAATCGAAGCACAAAATTTATAGGAGAGAACAACAACTGAAGCCATATTAAATTTTATTAAATGGTGGTGAAAACTTACGTGAACAGAGCTTGTACCCGTCGCCCGTGTAGCCGTTCTTACAGATACAGTTGTAGTTAATGCAGACTGTATTGGCACAACAAGTCTTACCACCACAAACACCCAAAACTACAAAGCAAAACCAAAAATTTGTTTTGTGATGAGTCACTTATTGCGATGCTGATAAGATACTGTTCAAAGAAAATCACAACATATTAAAGTGGACATACACCTGTTTCTTCTGAAATACTTAAACATTAATATTATCAATAAGATGCGATACTTGCAGATATTTAATGGATTCAGCTTACAGGAAAGAACAGAAGCAGTTTGGGCAAATTATGCAGTATACTTGAATACAGACCATAACACAAATAACGTCATTTGATTTTTGTCTATATTTTGTCTGTGTTGACGATCTACCTTCACATTCAAGTAACCATTGACAACCTACCTTCACATTCAAGTAACCATTGACGATCTACCTTCACATTCAAGTAGCCATTGACAACTTACCTTCTCATTTTGAGTAACCATTGGCAACCTCTCTTCACATTTTGAGTAACCATTGGCAACCTACCTTCACATTCAAGTAACCATTGGCAACCTACCTTCACATTTTGAGTAACCATTGGCAACCTACCTTCACATTTTGAGTAACCATTTCCATGATACCCTGAGTCACAAACGCATCTTCCTAATACACATGCGGCGTAAACGGCACATTTCTTCCCATTACATAGAGCTGAAATGAAGATAGAGAAATATCAATAAAATTAATGTAAGAAAACGACAATACATACAATACAGTTAAATACATTTCAGGTAAAACCGCTTGGCACCGGCAAAGGTTCAGATAACTCTCTTTACCAAATAGTATAAGGGGTCAGATTCGTTCGTATGAATTTAAAAAAATCCGTGCATTTAACACCAAATGGGAGAAAATCAAAAAATAGAAATAAAGAATGAAATATAACCATGTAAGACAAAAATAAATAGTATGCTTTCTTTACAAACATTACCGTTTAGTATTGAAGATGTAGCCTGAAACAAAATACACTTCCTGTAACCATGACTCATTGGACACAACAAAATGTAACATCATCGAGGCAACTGTGAAGATTTTTTATGGACAGTTAGTTTTCGATTCGAAAGTTTTATGTTATCTTAAAGAATTGAAACCTGGACGTTGTAAGATACTTACGTTCGCAGTCGTTCACGCCGTCCCCAAAGTAGCCGCCGTTACACAAGCAATGAGGCATACCATTCAGCAGTCCACAGGTGGCGTGATCGTGACACTTCAACGGGTTAGAGGTCTGCTGCAGAAATGGCTTCCCGTCTACTAGGACACAAGCGGATATAAACCGACAGTCCGCGCTTGTAATCTTCTTATTCAGCTGTAATGACAAATGACCATTCTTGTAAATTTAGTACTTAGAACATATGACATATATCGCGATACTCAGTAAACACTTTTCGAAAACCCATATTACGAATACACTCATTACGAGCATGCTTTTTACGAATTCACTTTTTACGAACACACTTATCACAAATAAACTTTTTATTTAACACGCTTATTACAATTACCTTTTACTGGACAAGTATATAACGAAAACACCTTCAACAAACACGCTAATTACGAAAACACCTTCAACGAACACGCTTATTACGAAAACACCTTCAACGAACACGCTTATTACGAAAACACTTATAGCGTGCTTATTATAAATGCACTTTTAACGAACCTAATTATTACAAATACACTTTAAACGAAGACATTTGATACGAATATACATTTTAATGGACAATATGGGCATGCAAGCGATACAGGCCAATTGGGCCTATTGTATGACTAGTTAACAGATTAATGATCTCTTTCAAGTTTTGGATTTTTTTTTAGAAAATAGCACAATGGCATATGTCTACACAAGGCGATGTTGCTTTGAGGAAAGAGTCAGCATATTGTTTTCTTGCCGCTACGAAGTAGCGGAAGCGAGACTAAGGTGTTGGTTCTAAATCTGTTTTCTGGTATCATCTAGAACACATGTTATTATATCCTCTGACTAATTTCATATCCTTCTGACAAATTTTAAAGTGTTAATGCTACATTAACACTTTAAAATTTGTCAGAAGGATATGCAATTAGGCAGAGAATATATTAAGTTGGAAAATCAGATATCTAGAACAGATTTTTTGATATTTCAAATATACTTTTTCAAGACCGTTAACCTGCTATTTTATTAGAATTGAAAAGCCACGATACTTTCAAAAGCAATGTTGATAGATAAATGCTACTAACGGGTAGGTATCCGAGGGAGGACGAGCAGCCACACTGGGATTTATGGACACAGGTGTCTCCACTGAGCACAAACCCTTCCTTACACTGACACCCTTCAGTCGGAGGTACATGACAAGCAGAAGAGTCTGGATCCTGGTCAAGACAGGTCGCTGGACAACCGCTCACGGAGTAGCTGTATACCATATTGGAGGAGCAGGTCACACCTAATAAATAAGTGGAAACAGCATCAGATTCTTCTTGTTTATTTACTATCATATTATAGCGTTAACAAGACCATTTAGTTCATGCTTTAACTAAATGTTTGCCAGGATATATCAAGTTTCAACTATAATCCTAACTTGCTTAAAGTTTATATTATTTTAAAACAATATCTTAAAATGATTCTTAATAATAACTCATTCACGATATGATGAGTTGATATAACATTTTGTGATTTTGAAAACGGTTTCCAATGCTCACTACAGAATTCTGGTTTCCTCCAGGCGCTGTCGATCCCGCGGGATTCACATTCCGTAGCAAGCCCCTCCAGTATATTGCAGACGACCTCTTTTATCCGAGTCTCGTCAGTATAGAATGAGCAGACATCATACCTACATGACTCGTACATCTCTTGGGCAACGACAGGGTAGTACGCCAAACATACCCGGAAAGGACTCACGTGACCAAGTTTTGGGTTCAGGTACCCACAATATCGATTTTCATCCACTTTGGTTTTCATGTCTTCAGGACAACTGTTCTGTTCGATTTCCTCTGTCTTACAACTGTAGGTAAAAGAGAGTTGCATATGATATCATGTGTAAATAATTATATATAAAAAAGTAAATTTTTAGCAATGTATATGAGAGATTCAGACATTGAAAGATTTAATGCTCTCGCTTATTGACTGATTAAAGAAATAATGGAGAACTGCCCACTATATATAAGAGCGTCCAAAGCATGTTAGAATATGTTAAAGCGTAATAGAAAGGTAAACATCCAGACGACCCAACCTATTAATCATATGTAACAAATACCAAATAACATTTCTCGACCTTGACGCTTTGTATTCAGTCTTAATGTCCTGCAGCAGTCATCTGCAGATATGCAAAGACATCAATAAATGGAATATTCTTGATTTCTATTCGAGGAAATGATGTAAATGTGTTTTGTTTTTAAATGATGCCACACATTTGTTATTTCATTAAGATAAATCAGTCATCTTGTTACCTTTCTGACGGTTTGTCAGAATCGTCCTTGACCTGGTAACTCTGACCAATCAGCTGATACCTATTGGGCATAGTGGACACGTCCTCACCCTCTCGTGTCCTGTAGTCGTCCCTGATGCCATTACAGTCCCCACACAGACCAGTTACCTTCGGACCAAAACTCCTTGGGATTTGAACATACACCTGTGACCTGCCATCCCATGCGACAGTAAGTCCACACTTAGTGGTGAGGCGGACGTATTTACCGGCGTTGTAGATATGAAGGTTACCGGATTCTAAGGAGACGGGAAGATAATTTCTGATGCCATTGATCTACAATATACAAACATACTACAAAAACTGTTTTGCCCATGCCTTACCAAATAAATGCAACTATAATACTTTGAAAACATCAGCTTCAACAGTCTACCATTGGAATTCAAATTCAAAACATAATGGGAAACACAAAACTCCAGCCGCCACAAAAAGGTTTTAAAATGCCCAGGTATGGTTATGATCTTTTATTCCACTAATCACACCGTCAAAATGTTTCCATCGAATCCACGGAAAATGTGCTGGTCATCAGAAAGAAATAATGATAATAAGATAAGGTGGATATGTTTTAATTCCTGACGGATAGCAAAGTGGAAAGTGTCTTTTCAGTCCTTTTTCGTAAAATTAAGAATTGATTAATAACTTAAATGTGACATTTTTCATATAACCAACAAAAATGAATATCTAACAAATGACTCACGTATACAACTTTGTTGACGTGTAATCTAACTTCGAAGCCGTATATTTTGACGTCTACCAATCTTGCGAAGGATACTCTTGTATTTCTTCCTCGTCGTTCATTCTTGACCTCAACATTAAACTGACAAAGATCATTGACGTCTGTGACCTTGACAAGCGTATATTTACAGATGCCTTGAAAATGAATCATCTGTTTGTCGAACGTCCGGAAGTGAGGATCACCGGAAACAGTACAGGTACAGGAAGCTGTAAAAATTGGACCAAACAGAATACAGACGCTCAAAGATAGGAACCTCTTCTATATAGAAACAAAGATATCTTCATCCATATATGACAATGCAACTGATTTAATCAAACTCCATCCATTTGTTTATCATATATCTTTATACTTCATATTTGCATGTTATTATTTCAGTTATGATTTCAAAACTGTAAAAACTGGCACATGGTTTACCTGTTTATATGATATATGGATCTTTTTTTTTAACAACGTCTTTTTAAAAAAGTAAGATAAATTAAAGTCACTTCGTCTTTTCTCTATATTGCTATTTTACATTAAATACTATAAGGTCCTTTTCATTGTATTGCATTTTCAAAATATATAATTGGTTTATATATGATCATAACCATGAAATGGTATTTAGTTGGAAGTTTGCTATGGTTAATTGGTTTCCTCTCCGAGCTTATATCAAATAGTATGAGGTCAAAAGCAATAAAAAAAGTTTGTATAAAGTCCATAGCGTCTTACGTGTATCACGTCCATAGCGTCTTACGTGTATCAAGTCCATAGCGTCTTACGTGTATAAAGTCCATAGCGTCTTACGTGTATAAAGTCCATAGCGTCTTACGTGTATAAAGTCCATAGCGTCTTACGTGTATAAAGTCCATAGCGTCTTACGTGTATAAAGTCCATAGCGTCTTACGTGTATAAAGTCCATAGCGTCTTACGTGTATAAAGTCCATAGCGTCTTACGTGTATAAAGTCCATAGCGTCTTACGTGTATCAAGTCCATAGCGTCTTACGTGTATCAAGTCCATAGCGTCTTACGTGTATAAAGTCCATAGCGTCTTACGTGTATAAAGCCCATAGCGTCTTACGTGTAGCAAGTCCATAGCGTCTTACGTGTATAAAGTCCATAGCGTCTTACGTGTATAAAGTCCATAGCGTCTTACGTTTATCTTTATCAGCAATCTTAAAGTATAGATGTCTATCGTATGGAAGATTAGCCAAAGACATACATGGGACTGCACATTCAAAGTTTGGGAATATATGCAGAGTGGCAAAATATTCAGAGTTCCAAAATGAATTACTCTGTTTCTTCCTTCTAGGACTCATCAGTGAAGCTAGGGGAGAACAGTTGGACTCATCAGTGATCTAGGGGAGAACAGTTGGACTCATCAGTGATCTAGGGGAGAACAGTTGGACTCATCAGTGATCTAGGGGAGAACAGTTGGACTCATCAGTGATCTAGGGGAGAACAGTTGGACTCATCAGTGATCTAGGGGAGAACAGTTGGACTCATCAGTGATCTAGGGGAGAACAGTTGGACTCATCAGTGATCTAGGGGAGAACAGTTGGACTCATCAGTGATCTAGGGGAGAACAGTTGGACTCATCAGTGATCTAGGGGAGAACAGTTGGACTCATCAGTGATCTAGGGGAGAACAGTTGGACTCATCAGTGATCTAGGGGAGAACAGTTGGACTCATCAGTGATCTAGGGGAGAACAGTTGGACTCATCAGTGATCTAGGGGAGAACAGTTGGACTCATCAGTGATCTAGGGGAGAACAGTTGGACTCATCAGTGATCTAGGGGAGAACAGTTGGACTCATCAGTGATCTAGGGGAGAACAGTTGGACTCATCAGTGATCTAGGGGAGAACAGTTGGACTCATCAGTGATCTAGGGGAGAACAGTTGGACTCATCAGTGATCTAGGGGAGAACAGTTGGACTCATCAGTGATCTAGGGGAGAACAGTTGGACTCATCAGTGATCTAGGGGAGAACAGTTGGACTCATCAGTGATCTAGGGGAGAACAGTTGGACTCATCAGTGATCTAGGGGAGAACAGTTGGACTCATCAGTGATCTAGGGGAGAACAGTTGGACTCATCAGTGATCTAGGGGAGAACAGTTGGACTCATCAGTGATCTAGGGGAGAACAGTTGGACTCATCAGTGATCTAGGGGAGAACAGTTGGACTCATCAGTGATCTAGGGGAGAACAGTTGGACTCATCAGTGATCTAGGGGAGAACAGTTGGACTCATCAGTGATCTAGGGGAGAACAGTTGGACTCATCAGTGATCTAGGGGAGAACAGTTGGACTCATCAGTGATCTAGGGGAGAACAGTTGGACTCATCAGTGATCTAGGGGAGAACAGTTGGACTCATCAGTGATCTAGGGGAGAACAGTTGGACTCATCAGTGATCTAGGGGAGAACAGTTGGACTCATCAGTGATCTAGGGGAGAACAGTTGGACTCATCAGTGATCTAGGGGAGAACAGTTGGACTCATCAGTGATCTAGGGGAGAACAGTTGGACTCATCAGTGATCTAGGGGAGAACAGTTGGACTCATCAGTGATCTAGGGGAGAACAGTTGGACTCATCAGTGATCTAGGGGAGAACAGTTGGACTCATCAGTGATCTAGGGGAGAACAGTTGGACTCATCAGTGATCTAGGGGAGAACAGTTGGACTCATCAGTGATCTAGGGGAGAACAGTTGGACTCATCAGTGATCTAGGGGAGAACAGTTGGACTCATCAGTGATCTAGGGGAGAACAGTTGGACTCATCAGTGATCTAGGGGAGAACAGTTGGACTCATCAGTGATCTAGGGGAGAACAGTTGGACTCATCAGTGATCTAGGGGAGAACAGTTGGACTCATCAGTGATCTAGGGGAGAACAGTTGGACTCATCAGTGATCTAGGGGAGAACAGTTGGACTCATCAGTGATCTAGGGGAGAACAGTTGGACTCATCAGTGATCTAGGGGAGAACAGTTGGACTCATCAGTGATCTAGGGGAGAACAGTTGGACTCATCAGTGATCTAGGGGAGAACAGTTGGACTCATCAGTGATCTAGGGGAGAACAGTTGGACTCATCAGTGAAGCTAGGGGAGAACAGTTGGACTCATCAGTGAAGCTAGGGGAGAACAGTTGGACTCATCAGTGAAGCTAGGGGAGAACAGTTGGACTCATCAGTGAAGCTAGGGGAGAACAGTTGGACTCATCAGTGAAGCTAGGG